AATGTGTATTTTTCTTTTGCCTTTTTCCTCATCCCTATTTTTTTCTTCCTATTGAACAGATTCTTTCCCTTTCATAATGTTTATTGTACCTTTCAGATTTTATTCTTTATCAGATTCTTACACTAGTGAGACAATACGATGTTTGCACATTTGGGACTGATTTATTTAGTTCACTTACCAGTATGGTCTCTTTTTTTATCTGTTCTTCAGTTGATAGGCATTTTTTTTTTCCAAGATTTAGTTCTCACAAATTAAGCTGCTATGGGGTAGATAGCAGATCTGCGTGGGGTAGATCATTTTAAAGAAGCAGAATGCCATAGAGTCTGATGGTGCAGGCAGGATATTCTACTATATAAGCACCACGTGCTAATCGATCGTGCCACTGGAGCTTCGGGATAGTCTTTATTGAGAAGGTGTGGAAGAAAGTTTGAAAGGAAGGAAGGAAGGAAGGAAGGAAGGAAGGAGGAAAAGAAAAGAAAGTTTGTAGAAAGTGTTCTTACAGAGTATGTCTAATGCACTGTGCTGTTTTCTCTGTTTAAACCATTCCAGACCTTGTATGCATCTTACTTGGCCATCCAGCCCTACTAAGAGGAAGTCTTCTGTAGTGCTCTGAGTACATTCATGTGTTCACAAAGCCAGGCTAAGGGTGTAGCACGTGAGCAGAGTACTTGTCTACCATGTGAGAGGCCCTAAGTTCAACTCCTAATATGGTGGGAATTTAGGGGAGTAGTCTTTCCAAAAAATTCCAGGTGGTGAGAACATAAAATACTAGACTATGGCCAGAGAGATAGTTCAGTGGCATAAGTGCCTGCCTGGCCAAGTGTAAGGACCAGAGTTCTATCTCCAGTACCGAAAAAAAAAAAAAACCAAAACACTAAACTATGGATTATGTATTGAGAAGATCCTTTACTTTTACCTTTATTTGCTTGTTAAAAATCCGAAATAAACTTTTTCTTAGTTCAGTTGTTTTGAAACATTTAATTTTTAATTAATATTTAATTTTCTGAATATTGCTTAATCTTAATTTTTGTTCTAAGATTTATACTATATCTTTGACTTACAATTTATTTAAAAGACAGCGTGTGATAGCTTCTCCTAGTTTTAGAAACTTTAAAAAGTATATTTCCATTTTCTGTTGACTTTATATTACTTCCTCCCAGTCTTCTATACACACGTACACATATATGAAAAAAAATGCATGTATAACCCAACATAAGATTGGTACTGTTTCATGGAAATCTGCAGTGACCTTTAAATAAGGGTTCATCTAATATATTTCATATAGTCCTGCATAACTGTCATCTTGAGAGCCCTTTATTGTTCATCCAGGAGCACACTGCAACTTCTCTTGCTTTTTGATTTATGCTCTTTGTTATTTCCTATATGCTACTTCTGGAGGTATCAAAATATTTCAAGTTTGTATAACTAGAAAATCTTACTTTTAGTTTTCAAAGGTATGTTTGCTAAG